AACGAGCATCTGCGAGCCTTAGGGCAGAGTCTTAGGGACCATATGCTTTACGCAATTCGCACGGCATGCCAGAGTATGGGGGGCATGACGGCAATTAGAATAAGTCAACCAATTTACAATCTGCAGCAGTCTTTTGCTTTAAGTGAGTGGGACAAGTTGAACCCCAAAAGTCCCCATGCACGTCTTTATCAGCAGCAGACACATCACTAAGCGTTTTTATTTTGTATGTATTTGAACAGACTGACGCGACTGACACATAACGTTAAAAGCGCGCACGTATTTTGTTTATTTTATTATTATTATTTACAAAAGACGCAGGCTAAACAGGATACAATGTCACATGTAACATCACAGACTGGACATTTCGCGCAGTTTGTTAGAAGTTAATCCAATGTGCTCTCGTTATTTCACCTCCAAGGAGCAGCGTCTGTATCCACATGGTCCACCCGCGCGCAAAGGCGAGCTATGAAACGCGTTTTAAATAAAAAAATAAATAAAAAAGCCAATATTTCTTACCGTGATGAAGACGCGAAGACCAACGTGGGGAAAGGATCGTGGGGGCAATTATAAATCCTACTTTTGCATTTCGCAGAAGACGGAGGCAGGAGATGATCAGGGCAGAAGCAGAAGCAGAAGCAGCGACTGAGAGAGAGAGTAATCCCACTGTCAGTGACAATAACCCGGGGAGGGGGCGGAGGGAGGGGGTGCAGCCTTTCCAATTAGAAACACTGGGATTGATTGTTGTGCAGGCAGGAAGTAAGGCTGTTATGGTTATGTGGTGTGAAAGACTGAGCCTGGTTGGGGATATAGGCTTCGAATGTAACTTACATTCGATTACATTCGGGGGGGGGGGGGGGGGGGATGCTGAAGGAGTCAATTCAAACGAAGCGAAATCTAAATGAAAAAGTGCTGCTATCAGAATCATGTCATTCAGTTCAGTGTGAGTTGAGCCCGAGAGACTTTGCTTACATTTCCATAATCAAATGTGAGACGTGCTCCGGGCGCTGCCCTCTAGCGGTGATAAAGGGGATGGCAGCATGGCACACGCTGTACCAGCAGAATGTTTCTGTTCCAGTCCAGAACTCAGACATTAACATAAGCCCCCTTGTTATTAACATTGGTAGAATAGAATTTAACACAAAGGGCCCTGGCCTTAAGTCTTTACTTTAATTCAACTAAACCTGGAGCTAAACCTTTTGAATTGAATATATCTTTTAAGGATAAGAAAGGCTAAGGAGAGGTTCTGAGCTAGGATTCAGTCTAAAGCTGCACAGTAAACTCTTTTGTCCGTCCAAACGAAACCATGCAAAGTTCTAGTTTCAGGCCCCATTTTTACGGAGACGATGCAGCAGTGAAACGTTAAGTTGGGTATCGGTTTGGGCTCCTGTTTACATGGAGACTCTGGGGTGAAAACGGAAGCATTGAGAACCAGCCTACAGAGTGGGACAGCTCAGACACGCTGCTCTTTCACAGAGTGTGAAGAAAAAGATGTGAATTCTCTGCCTGCTATGACCCATACGTACATTTGGACATGCGCAGTAGTCGCAAACAAACGTAAACAACAATGGCGCAGGGTTTGCTAACTAGCCATATGTGTTACGAGCGCTACACGGAGGAGGATTCTAAAATGTCCCCTCTGTGGGACGAATAAACAATCTCTTAAACTCAATCTTAATCTACTCCTTCGTTCGTCAAAACAAAATCATGCAAAGCTCAAGTTTCAGTTTCCAATTTTGTGGGGGTGGTCCAGTGGGTTACTTTTGATTTACTGTCCTCCATGGGTCTGGAGATTATGGGTCCTACATGGGTCACTTTGTAGATAAATGGGGGGTCCCTACCTTGGGGTACGGTGTTAGATCGGGGGGGTCATACCAGGGGTATGTTATTATTTAGGTGGTCATCCTTGGTTCTTTAGATAACTGTGGTCCGCACTGGGTCTTTTATTGGAATAGGGGGTCCTCCATGTGCTTGGATATAACTGGGGCAAGCCAGGGATTGATATTTATATCTGGTGGTCATCCATTTGGGAATGTTCTTTACTCCTTGCACGTAGGGGATGAGTAGGTAACCGGACACTTAAACGATTAGGGGGTTGTAATGATGCAAGCTAATTGTAATTATGGGGATTAAGAAGGTGCAAGTGTGTGATGGGATGCCCACTTCCTGACACAAATAATCAAAAAAAACCCCGGTTACGATTCTACAATTTGTGCGCGGGCAGGCTTTTTGCTGGACCTACATAACATTAGTGGCCTGGGGCCAGCTTTAATGTATGCGTTTGCGTGTGCCCACCGGATGCCTCTGAAGTGCTACATTAACACGCTGAGTAATGGCCAAAGGAAGACCGTTAACACTGTACTGCGGGGAGTCCAGGAGCCACATGGTCCTGTTACGCACTGGGACAATATGATCCTATTATTAGCAAGGCTGCGCACGTTCGTGCGCTTACACCATCCAAGACCCTGCCATTGACAGCTTGCATATATGGGGTCCAAAAGCGGCCTCATCCTGGCGATTATGAAGGGTTCCGCAGTGTTCCCCCAAAGGGGAGGTCCCGACATCCCCGGGGGGTCGCGGGAACCCCTGGGGGAGGGGGTCCGCATGTTGAGTTCCGAACATAATCAAAGAAAATTATATAAATATATGGAGTGGTTTTTTGGAGGCAAATAGTTTGCCCGGATATTTTTATTAGCATTTTGATTATTCAAAAGGACTTACTTGGGTGTTGTGGGGTGGGGGGAACGAGTGGATATTGTAATAACGTTATAATTTTGTCCAAGGCATTGCAGATCAAGCAAAAGCTGCTCGGAACTCAGCTCACATTCTTGGCCACGTCTATGCTGTCCGGATGTTGTTTGCTTAAATCTTATGGGTGGGGGCGCTAAAAATAAATATACATGCCTGTAAATTTTACGTGGGGGTATGTGCCATCATCAAAAATCCCGGAGGGGAGATAAGGTGCAAACGTGTTATCTGGGGGCAAGCTGTGGTGCGTAAAGTAGTGGGGTAGAGTGGGCAAAGGAGGGAGAGAGCGAGCGGAGGAGGGGTGACAGCGGGGGTAACACGCGTTAATGAGGACCCGGCTTTTCGGAGTCTAAGTAAAGATGTCCCGCTCATGATAATAGCGGGGGCCGGTTGTATTGGCCTGTATCGGACATATCGTTGGTAAAGAGAAGCCGCTGGGATGAACCGCATAAAGTAACAGCTGAAAGCGCCGCACCGCTTTAATGTGCGGACATCTTTACCCGGACTCCGGAATGGCCAGCTCTACTTTATTCGCTCAACAACAACAATCGAGGAGGAGGAAAAAGATAGAGTGAAGTGACGGCTTTCAGGGAGTCCGGCGGTAAAGAGTCCCGCAAATTAAAAGCGGGCGGCCGCGTTCGGCAGGGTGTACGTTTATGCGGGTCATCCCCGCGGCTTTCTCTTTCAAAAGGTACTGTCAGTAAAAATAGGCTTATAACCTCCTACCTCTTTTATTGTGCCGGACATCTTTAAACTGTGGTATCCAATTGACGGTCCGCGTGAACGGCGCGGTTCTACCGATGTCCTAGCCTCACTCCGCGGCCCTCTCCTAACATCCTTTGGCCCTCTACTCACCGCTCATGCGCACCCTTCTCCCTGAAACCCTGTGTAATGTACTTGTGTCTACCCCTTCCGGTGGTCCTGGGGGTGTGGGATAGTAAACCACGTTCCCATTTGTAAGCAGGTATTATTTATTTGTAGCCTCCAAACCCTTTAGTTTTTAGGCTAACAACAGCAAGGACAGCGCTGGGCGCTGGGCGCATAGAGTGGTCGGGTGTAACGTGTATGATTTTGTTTGACGCGGCAATGTACTGGACATAAGATCGAACGTATTTAATAAGTTGTTTAGTCTCCAATACTCATTTATCTAGAGTCCTTGGAATCTAAGTCATAGCGATGATTAAATTTAAGGGGAAGGGCTTTATATGGGGATCTAATAAAAAATATAGCTTTTTTTTTGGGTGGGGGTGGAGATATCCAGCAGGCGTACCCACAACCAGGGGGTTACCCGCGACACCCGCCGGGGGGGGCAGGTACCCCCTATTGGGAACCACTGGCGGAAAACTGCTGAATCCCAGGGTTTGGCAACACGACGTTGATCAATTCTGGCACAGACTGTACTGCTCATTCGCTTCTGGTTTGGTGTAAGCCATACGAATAGTGGGACGAGGCCCTTCTAATATTTGGCTTCAGTTGCCCAGTGGCGTGAGGTCCCTTGGGGCTCACTGATGTACAAGATTGTTCTTCTGGTCTGGTCTTCCTGGCTTTCGTTAGAGGTGATAAGGTAGAAATGCAGTGGATTCCGTGACATAAAGAAATGAATACAATTTTAAGCTTGCAACTGATCTTGTGAGGGGGTTTGGTTGGCTCTGGAAAAAATGCAGCCGCATATAGCTGTTGCATCGGTTCCTAGGGGGTTGTTGGGGGTGGTTTGTTGTGGCACGGTGTGGATGGGTATATGTGAGAAAGTCTGTTACCAGGTTCAAGAGTTGCTTGGATAAGATAAACATACTATCGGGTGAGGGACCGGAGTAGCGGCGCGTACCACCTATACGTGCAAGTGGTTACTTAACATCAAATGGAGGACCTAAGTTATAGAAAAGTACAAGGAGGAACTTATATAAAAGAACCATGGAGACCAGTTGTATAATTAATGTAACCAGTAGGACCACAGTTATAGATATAGTACCTGGGAGGACCTCAGTTTTTATTAAAGATCCTTGGAGGACCACAGTTATATAAATGAACCTTGGGAGGGGGTACCAAAGTTATATAATAATTCCATGGAGGACCTCAGTTAATATAAGTACCATGTGGACCAGGTATTTTAATTGAACCATGGATCAAAAAGCTTTTAGAAAAATTACTATAGCTTAATCTAAAACGCAGGTAGCTCTCATCGTCACAGGAAAATACCTTATCCATTTTTATATACTACTTTAAAGTTTGGGGGTGGGAGAGAAGTGTGGGGGAAAATGGGGGGGGGTTCCTCAGTGAACATGGGGTGCGTGTGTGTTTGGCCTAAGGTGGAAACAGGGGTTTGTTGGGTGGGGGTTACCGCAGGGTGAATCTGGGGGTGTTGGTGTGGGTGGTGTGGCCTCAGGTGGATCTTGTGTGTTGTGTGTTTTCCCTCAGGTGAACATGTGTGATGTGTTTTTCCTCAAGGGTACTTGGGTGGTGGGTGGGGGGTGTTTTGCCTCAGGGGTTGTTCATGTGGGTCGTGGGGTGGTGTGCACTATGGGGGGAACATGTGTGTGTGTGTGGTGTTGGACACAGCTGATTAATGGTGGTGTGGTGTGGGGGGTACCCAGAAGGGTATCATGGGGTGGGGGGTTGTCCATCAGGAACTGGGGTGGTGGTTGCCGCTGTGAACAGGTGTGTGTGTGTGTGGTGTTGTTTTCATCAGGTTGATCAGGGGGGTGGGGGTGTGTGTATTTTGGGGGGTACATGGGGGGGGGGGTGGGGGGTTCAGAAAGGGAAATTGGGGTGGGGGGGTGGTGGGGGGTGTCACTCATGTGTAATTGGTGTGGGGTGCCTCTGTGAACTATGGTGGGGTGGTTGTGGGTGGGGGGTTGATTCATGGTTAAGGTGTGTGTGTGGTTTGACTCTGTGATCATGTGTGTGTGTGTGGTGTGGCACGCATGGGATCATGGAGTGGGTGGGTGGTGGGGTGTGATCATAATGGTACTAGGGGGGGTGGGGGGTGTTCACACTATGGGGATCTGTTGTGGGGTGGTGTTTGGACACATCTGTGATCATGTGGGTGGGGGTTGGTCTAGCAAGTAACATGTGTGTGGTGTTTCCGCAGGTGGACTCTTGTGGGGGGTGGGTGGGGGGGGGTGTCCATCATGTGAACATGTGTTTGGGGGGGTGTTGGGCAAGCTGGGGATCATGGTGGGTGGGGGTTGGGTGTGCCTCAGAGTGTTAGGTTGGGGGGGGGTTGGGACCAGATAAGGGTAATATTGGGTGGGGGTGGTTGGGGTTCTGACGTGATCATGTGTGTGGTGTGTGTGTCATCTGGGGTACGTGTGGGTGTGGGGGTGTGCCCATATGTGATAATAGTGGGGGGGGGTGGTGTGCCTCAGGGGATTCAGGTGTGGTGTGTGGGGGGGTGTCACCACATGGGATCATGTGGGTGTGGGGGGGTGGTCCGCATGGTGTAAATTGGGTGGGGTTGGTGGTGTGGGGTGTCATCTAGGGATCTTGTGTGTGGTGGGGGGGTGTGGTGGGTTGTTACCGCTGTTACAGTGGTGGGGGGGGTGTTTCCGACAGGTAACATGGGGTGGGGGTGGGTGGTCACTACGACAGTGAACAATTGGGGGTGGGGGGGGGGGGGTGGGGGGACTATGGGGTACATGTGGTGTGTGTGTGTGGGTTGTGTTGTCCCTCAGGTGAACATTGTGGGGGTGGCAACGATGGTGTAATAGTGGGTGGGGGGGGTGGCCTCATGATCATGGGGTGTGTTTGTGTGGGTTCACTATTGGTTATTGTGTGGTGGGTGTGTTCCAGACTGGGGTACAGGGGGTGGGGGGGGGCAGCTGGGGGTTAAGGTGTTGGTGTTGTCCTCAGGACATGGGTGTGTGTGTGTTCCTCAAGTGAACATAGTGTGTTGTGTGGTGGGGACACGATGGTATATGGGGGGGGTGGAGGGCTCCAGAAGGTACTGGGGGGGGGGTGGGCCTCAGGGGATTCAATGGGGGGGGGGGGGTGTTTGCAATATGGTGAACAGGTGGTGTGTGTTTTCACGTGGGGGATCCGGTGGGTGGGGTTGCCTCCTGGGGAACTTGGGGGTGTGTGGTGTTTTTCCGTGGTGAACATGTGGTGTGTGGGGTACCTCAGGGGAACTAGGGGTGGGTGAGGTAATCTGGGAACAGGGTGTGTGGGGGTGTGGTTTTGACGTACCCGCTGGGATTACATGGGGGGGTTTCACCTCATGTGGTACACTAGGGGTGTGTGTGTGTTTTCCTCTGGTGTTAATTTTGTGGGGGGGGTGGTCAAGATGTAATTGGGTGTGGGGTGGTGGTGTGCATACTGGGGTACATGTGTGTGTGTCAGCAGGTGAATCTTGTGTGGGGGTGGGTTCCTACTGTACATTGTGGGTGGGGGTGTGGTTTGCACTCTGGGGGGTAAGGGTTGTGTGTGTGGTGGTTTCCTAAGGTGACATGTGGTGGGGGTTTGTACATAAGGGGTACAGGGGGTGGGGGTGGTAACATAAGTGGGAAATTGTGTGGGGGTTGGGGGACACTAAGGGGTTATTGGACGTGTGAGCTGTACCCGCTGGAATGGCCGGGGCGGCGGGACTACTGTAAATCGGGGATGTTGTTAAGACCCAATAACTGACAAATCGTGACATGGATGTGGGAAGTCACGATCTATATCATTTGTAGATAGATAATAGCACTGTAATGAAATAATCATTTTTTATAATTACATTTGGTTCTTGTTTGTTAGGGGGGGTTGATGGCTGATCTATGCTACAAGGTTTTCTTTTTCACTTGTTGGGGGTATGAAAATTGATCTTTTATATAAATATATTGTAGTAGGGGTGTGTGGTTGTCTGTGAGACTGTCACTGGTGGCTTGGTTCTAATTTTGCAAAAGGTCGCAGCTGGGTCCCTATTTCTCGTAATCAAATAGCGTAACAACACTGGGTACTTTCCAGACTTATATCACGTCGCTTATGGTAACAGCCGTTAATTAATATCGAAAATTGCTTTTTTCCAATGATACACACGCGGAGGACTAAGAACATCTCACTTGCGATCACGTTGAACCACAAACTCGTTTCCTGATTGGGAAGCTACTCTCTGGGGGGCAATATCTGGATTATACTCTATAAATAGGTTAGATACAGGCCTTGCGGATAGTATCGGCCCCTTTAAACATTTCAACATTGTCACAACATTACCAGGCTTCAAACTAAGATGAATTGTGGATGGGCACGGTCATGATCTAGTGGGACACAATCTGTTTGGGATTTAATGTTGGATAATTTTATTTTAACTTTTTTAAACAAAATTTAATAAATGAAAAGTGGGGCGGCATTGATTATTCGGCCCATGTACGTCCTTGCAAGCAAACCAGTCCAGAAGTTCAGGGAGGATCTTTGAATGATCCAATGTTGCCTTAAAGGACTAGGATGTTTTAGATAGAATGTTCCAGGGAGTGGTTACTTAAGTCTCCGGTATAAAATGCAACCTGCTCTTTGATAGTCTCAGGTGGCTGGGTGTGATATTAGGCGGCTTGTGATCCAGATTGACAATAGTTCACGTACAGGACATGGGACGTAGCGTGTGGGTAAGTAAGGGGGGTGGGAAAAGCCCGGTTGGGATACAAAAAATTGCCCTAGATTTTAACATCTCAGGAACAATGTGCATGCAATTATATGGAAATTGGGTAGGATATCTTGGCCTATGGCAATTCTTCCATGACCCGGCCGTCGCCCTACCAAACTTTCATCTCAAACAAGGAAAGACTGATCATAGATGCAGAAAAGAGGCAATGTTCACTCTGATGAACTGCAGATAACTACAAGCGAGGTGGGATTTGTGTTGTTTCAGGGTGATGACGTGGGGGGCTTTGTACGCCATAACTATAGTTGGGGGCAAGGGGGCCTAAATAGATTGGTTGGGAGTTTTGGGGGTTCATATGACCTTAGCACCTTCTTCACTTGGTGGTGGTGTGTCTCCCAGGTGCTTGTGGCAAGCTTTATAACAAGACTTTTTATGATATCTTTGGGGGGAGGAGTTGGGCCTCTATCCTTAAAGGGCAAAAGTTGGGTGCAGGGGCTCGACTGTTGTTGGGCCTAGGGGACAGAATCCCCATCGCAGCTGGAGGTAGCTCAGTCATGTCAAGGATCTATGGCAACGTTCTCATCGCGGTTCAGTCTTACTCCTTGGGTGTTATGAATGTTTGGAGGGACGGCCGGGTCTTGTAGATGTGGCTTGGGTCTGGATACTACCGGCCATTGAATTATATTTGCTTGCACAGTGCTCCTTGAATGTTTAAAGCTTGGGAAATCTTTTGTGCCATATCCGCTTTAAACTTATATCACAACAGTAGCTCGGGACCGGCCTGGTGTTTCCCTTGTGTCTTCTATATGGTTCTCGCTGCGCTTTTAACAGAAACCTGAGACGTATCAAAGAGCAGGTGCTTTTATTCGGATACTTGATTACACACTGTGCATTCGCTAGTTTGCTCATCTGTGCATTTAGGGACAACAGTGGGAGCATTCAAAGATCCTCTCGAACTTCTGACTGTGTTTAGCTGCACTGAAAGTAAAGGGGCGCCGAATAATATTGTAACCGCCCCACTTTCAGTTTTTAGTTTGTTAATAAGTTGAAAGTACCTAGAAATTTTGGTTCACACTTACAGGGAGTGTTCCCAATACTTGTTGGTTGATTCTTGACTAAAAAATTAAAATTTTATTCTTTATGTTTTGAAGCATGAAATGTGGCGATATGAGAAAGTTCTAGGGCCATTTCTTCGCAAGGCACGGTTCAACACAGCAGTCCTTTTCCACAACTGTTTTTATTTCCGTTTATCAGTTCGTTGTTGGTATGTGTGGCGCTACTATTTTGGGGGGGTTCGCTAAGTGTTAACCTAAAAACCAAAGTACTGAAAGGTTACACATATTATCAACTCAATACGTACAGTATACGTATATCACAGTACTTGCTGTATACTGGGTATATCACATACTGCTTATAACTGTTATCACAGTCTGCATTTTACGTATATCACATACTACAGTATACGGTCACCACCGTACATGCAGAGACTGTATATCACAGACTGGCATTATACTGGTAATCACAGTTATTAAAATTTACTGGTACACCACATAACATGCAGTATAGCAGTCTATCACAAGTACTGCAGTATACTGGACATCAATGTACTGCATATACTGTACTTCACAGTACTGCAGTATACTGTACAAACCACAGTACTACAGTATATCAAAGGACTGCAGTTTACTGTAATCACTTTTCTATATATACAGTACACCACAGTACACAGTAGAACACAGTACTGCAGTAATACTGTGACACCACAGTATACTGTATCTCACATACTGCAGTATACTGTACATCACAGTTTCAACATATACTAGAACTTTACAGTTTTGTACTACATAGCTGTATATCAACAGGTTTCTACAAGGATACTTACACCAAGGTACTACAGAATACTGTATATCACAGTACTACAGAAATACTTTACGTATTGGACTACAGTATACTGAACATCACAGTACTACAGTAGACTGTATTACACGTACTACAGTATAACTTTACCATTATTGACTATTACAGTATACTGTGACATCACAGTACTGCAGTAAAACTGTATATCACAGTTAACTGGCAGTATACTGTATATCACAGTACTACTGTATACGAATCACTGTTCTGCAGTGATACTGTACAACACAGTACTGCAGTATACTGTATATCTCAGTACTACATGATACTTTACTGAATTTGGTCCAATGCAGGAGAACAAAACATCTCGATGTTAAAACTAAGCCTATTGGGGTGTGGTGGGTGGATTATTGGAGTCATGTCCTGCGCGGACTTTTCCTAAAGGGGAAATTCCTGCTGGTGGTACATTACTGACCACCTCCAGATAAGGTCTTCTAGTCATTTGGGGATAAATTTGATTCCACAAATTGTTTAATATATGGATAGGGTTGACATTGTGTAAATGGGTGTACAGTACTGTGCATCGCAGTTGGTTGTCCTGTAATGAGTGTAGTTTCACAAAACCAAGTTTTTTTTCAAAAGTAGGAATAGCCAACTCACTACCGGACAGAGTACATGTGATTCAGTACTGTTCATACTGTAGAACCAGCTGCAGTAGAGAGTTGAAGACAGTTTCCATCGAAGCTTGAAGGAATGAACGGTGGCTGGGCTACTCACTCTGGCTGGCCGCTGTGTAATATATTAAATATGAGAAGTGATTAATTAATAAAAAGTTTATCTAAAAATTAAATTATTAATTAAAAATAATTAGAACTAAATGAAGAATAATAAAATAAAACATATAATAAAGGGGATGGTTAGGGTTGCTCGATGTAATCTAAATATTTTTTGTGCATGTTCCTTCATCCTGATTCCTCCTCCCTTGCGCCGTGTGTACCTCTTTCTCTCAAGGTGCTTTACCCCGCCTTCAGACGGTGAAACAAGTCTGAATAACGGGAGGTCTGATATGGTGACGCGGTTGTATGTGCAGGGGTTGCTATGTGGTTTCCAGTGTTGTTCCTAGCTAGCAATGTGTTTGGGATTTTGATAGATTTTTTTCTTCCCAATATATAAAAGAATTGCATTTTGTTCCAAAGTGTCTTATGGTCTGACAAGCAAACTGTGTGGTAGTGGAGCAGGGAGGAATTGTTGGCAGAAAGAGGAATGTTTTGCAGATATAGAAAGTGGCAAAGGGCTGACTTGTGGTTTATTGGGGAATGGTGAGTCTGGGTGTTAGGGTTCAGAACTAATAGCTCAAGTTCTGTATCGTGGATCCTAAGCAGTGTCTTTAGGTGTTCGTGCCCAACGGTTTTTAAAACTAAATTGAATACTTTTCCCTTGTTTTGGGACATCTGAAGCCAAAATCATGGCACCGTGGATGCGCTTGATTGGAACTGGCATTCACTCCATGCTGTATAATAATCTTACATCGGTCGTGTTTGTGTTTCGTAGGATGATGTCTCTACCATTGACAAAAAACATTTCTTCGTCTGAATAAAGACAACATCCATGACTTGTCATCTTCTGCACGTCTTAGATATTTGCCTCTGTAGCGATACTACAGGGTCCAGTGGGAAGATGGGTGGGAGGGACTTGGAGATGAGAGAGACCAGGCGATCAAAGGTCCTTCTTTTCACTGCTCCTGTGCCACGGGTCTGTAAGTCATTAATCCCAGTGATCTGGAATTCTTGGGGACGTACAATGCATGGGAGTAAGCAGGTGGGAAATGGCATACTCCTGTGACGTGGTGACATGTCGCTGAGACGTGGGGAAATACGACTTCGCACATGTCTCAGGGGGGCGGGGAGATTCTGTCCGGGCTGGGGGCAGCCTTGCGTGAGGCCAGCTTAGACTGTCGTCTGGCCTTCTCGGGAGCTATGGGACAGTAGGGGGACGGGGGGGGGGGGGCAGTGGGTGAGGTGTAAGGGGGTCAATGAGGCATGTGGGGGGAGGTTGTCAGGACAA